AAAAAAGAAAGATCATCTGTTCATTCAAACACTAGAGTACTAGAGGATGGAGTGCCAGAGGAAGCACGTTCCTTTATTGTTATAATATTCATGATACCGAGGTGGAGCACCTGCTAGGAAGATTCTCTCCTCTCTTAACAGCTTTGTTGCACGTTGCAAGTGCTATGGTGGTAAGTAAATAGGCAGAAGTAGATGATTACAGAGTCATAAGTCTTCACAAGTTTGTGACTACGCATAGTATATTATTTGCATAACATTTTCTATTATTTGAAGTAATAAATTCAAAGTTGTTCTTGATTGTTTAAGGCGATTACCAAATAAAAATGGCATATGGCACATCAAAATGAAGCTCAGAGAATTAGATTTGCCGAAAAGTATTAATATAAACAGATTCCTCAAGGCCTTGGTATTATATACCGGTTTCCTGAGGGCTCCATCTTACTTGCTTTCAGGTTCACATTTAGTTATTGTAATGGTTAACAGTTGGGCATAGCAAGTAGTAGATTTATCATTTGCATTTTTGTTTACTTATTTCGTTATTTACTGTTATCTTCTTCAACGTGATGAAGTTTAAGGCAGTTTCTTTTCTAGCGTTTCGATAAAAGTAGGTGCTTCGAGGTTTTTAAAGACAATGTATGTGAGATAAACAAAACAAACTGTTGATTGTCCAAGAGGTTGTCACCGAACTTCAAGAGGTCGTCGAGAAAAACAGCGAGTCAGGATTTGGCCATACTCAACTCAGCCCGTAACGTATGAAGGTCAACATTCCTTGATACGAATTTTTACAGACATTGTGCCACACTTAAATTAAAATACTAGAAATCTGAGAATCACAATACACAATGCTGTTTGAATACGAAAGTTTCTCTGCCACTATTGTTAGTCACCCCATCTTCATAGGTTGGATCCAAGGACCCGATAATCTTTTGACTGATTCAGTAAAACGCCAAAAGGTTTAAGTCTCTGAAAAGCTAAGCATTCAAATGTTTGTATGATAGAGGAAATTTCCATAGACAAAACTCTATTGTTTAAGCTTCCAAGACGCCAGTTACCTATTATGCAATTGCAATTAAATTTAAAAAATCCCAGGGCCAGACTCTCGATAGCGTTGTTGTTTGGTTGTCAGCACCAGTTTTTCCACTTGATAGGTCTAGTTTACGATGCTTTTATACAGGGTGACTGAAAAGTAACTTGCACCCCCCCTTAACTTTTCAACCATTTGAGATATTTGAAATCGGTTTGCGGCAACCTTCTTAGACATGAGGGGCTACAATAATTATGGTCAATTTTGAAAATTTTGCCCTTAGGGGTAGCGGAGGTAGCTCAAAATTTTCAAACGACAAGTATAGTCGAGTTTGGTATCATTTTACAGGTCTTGACAAAACATAAACATTGACATAAAGAAAACCAAAATCGGCTCACTAATAACAAAATGATATTAGCCCTAAAACGTTTCAAATCCAAATAACCATGAGGGTGGCAAAAAAATTAACTTGCACCCTCTTTAACTTTTTAACTATTTTAGATATTTGAAATCGGTTTGCGGCAACTTGTTTGGATATGAAGGGCTACAATAATTATGGCCAATTTTGAAAATTTTTCCCTTATGGGAAGCGGGGGTAGGGGGTAGCTCAAAATTTTCAAATAGTAAGTATAGTCGAGTTTGGTATCATTTTGTAGGTCTTGACGAAACATAACAATTAACATAAAGAAAATAGAAATCGGAGCATTAATGACAAAATGGCAGTTCAAAATAACTTTAAATAACCGTTGTCTCAATCATTTTTAGCTGCCATTTTGTTATTAATGCTCCGATATCTATTTTATTTATGTTAATTGTTATGTTTCGTCAAGACCTACAAAATGATACCAAACTCGACTATACTTACTATTTGAAAATTTTGAGCTACCCCCTACCCCCGCTACTTCTAAGGGCAAAATTGTCAATATTGACCATCATTGTTGTAGCCCCTCATATCTAAGAAGGTTGCCGCAAACAGATTTCAAATATCTCAAATGGTTGTACCAAGTTACTTTTCAGCCATCCTGTATGTATCTCTTGCTTCAAACTTTGTATTCAAAGGAATTATATGAATTTAAATTGAACCTAATGTACTTTGATTTAACGTTTTTATGATAAAGATTATATCTGTAATGTTATTTTGATCTTCTTCTTCACATATTGGCACATAAATTATACCCCCATGATTTTACAGGTTTAACCTGTTAATTATAAGTTTAGTGTTTCTTTTAGCTCTACAAGTTAGATATTCAAGCCACAACTGTTAACCAATCAATGTAGAGATCCTCTGTGAACAGTTTGATGTCAATCATCGCCGTTGATTACTTTGGGCTTTATCAATCCACAATCAAACCCATCTATTGTGTATTTTAACTAAATCCTTTACAAACAAAAAAACCACATCTCTAATATACAGATGAGGATAGTGTTATCAATATTAAACCTTTATGTGCAGAAATATGCATATTTAGAGTCGAAGTATATTTTATTTACTCACTGAACGTCGATATCCTGGTAGTTGCAGACTATTCTGTTCGTCGTTTTTGTGAAGAAAAGTTATCTAACAAGTTGACTGTTTTGTTGGAACTTGGGGAAAGTTTGCACAAACATCTTGTTGATGGCAAACATTACGTAGTTTTTGTAACAAAATTTACAAGAACCTTTGAAATAGTTTTAAAAACATATTACAGTGATTTCTATTAAGATATTTTTCATTTCATAGTGTTACCAAAAACTCTTTGAATACTAATAGTGGGTACAGTTAACTTTTGTTTAGTTATTCCTTGTAATAAATTCTTAGTAAGCTATTGTAATATTGATTAGGTCTTTTTTTATTGCCATGCTGTAATTTTATTGCCAAGTTATCCAGTTTTAGTACATTTATAACTCTAAATATGCATTGCTAAAGAAAAGATAAATTTTACCTTGCTAAACTAAATTCACAATTAATTCGGAGTAGATTTATTATGATGTATAGGCCTACTTTCTCTTAGGTTCAAAATAGCTAGGAAGTGGAAATGTATAAATTATTTTCCAAACATAGTTTAACGTTATTTGACCCTGTAACCTTCTTGGCGATTTATGGATTGTTTGGGAAAACACCAGACTAGGTACAACCGATCATTTATTTATACTAGGTGGTGTTTGCAGAAGTCTGTAAATGTACTACAATATCATCAAGTTTATTGATTGAATAATTAATTTCAATGAATATGATCATGTAAAACTAAAACTAAGATATTAAACGTTGTTTATCGACTTGTTTATGTGTCCAGACCGAGCGTTTTTATGTCGCGAAATGTGCATGCAATATGTTAATGTTGTTAGTATAAGGTTCGAGCCAGTGGCGCAAGTTTATGCTCCATACCGTTTATGTTCTAACATACGTGATTGAGGATTACAATAATCATATCAGCTGTTTTAAGTCCTTAAAAAAAACTTGTGCTACGGCCACCATCTTGGAAAATGGCGTCCAAAAACAAGTTTTCCCCGATTACTCGAAAGCTATTCATCCTATAAAAAAACATTAACATAAATAAATGTTCACCAAAGAAAGAGCTACAACGTTTGTACAAGGCATACTTCGATATAATTAACCATTTAGCCATAAAATGCAATATTTAGAAAATAAATTTGTAAATTCGTAAAAATACATTAATTGCCATTTAACAAGTTTTAAATAAATTATTTAAAAAAGATGTTATTATTTTAATTTAAAAATTGGAATGTTCTGAACATTTTTATACCAGTAACATAACTTCTCCTTTCCATTTATATTTGCTGTGACATTTTAAATTGAGCCGCACAGGTTCACTAGTAGGTTAATATTGTATGTAGTAAAAAACAAACCCCTTTAATACAATTAATTATTTTTAAATTCAAACACAATTATCATTGTATCCTGTTACATAATTGCTCCAACCTTATTCATCATCAGACTGAAGTTCTACTCCTTGACAAGAGTTTCCGCGTTATTATTACTAGTGAACCTGTGCGGCTCAATGCCCCGCAAAAAAATATGAATTTAGAAAACAAATTCATCGTGTTATATATTGACTCGTCGAAAATTAAATACAGTAATAATAAAGCCTTAGAAGGGAAGCAATCCAGCCATTTTCTAGCTGTATGCGTATTATATTTAGTAAATTAATAAGTGTTTAAGTTCAAGTATGTTACAGGGTAGTTATTTTTTAAAAGATTTTTAAAAACACGTTTAACAAAACATTTTATCATATCAAAACAATAGGCAGTGAATGTAGCATATTTTGAGGGTCATAAAATGCTGCTTGAAGAAAACACTTTTAAAAATAAGCACTAAAAAACAATATTTTTATCACAAAAGCACTTCCATAAATACTACGATTTTAGTCTTAAAGTTACCTTCAGGAATATTACCCTGGTCAGAATTTTCCGTAATGAATATGCTTATCCTACTATTAAAAGATGTAGCCTTACTTAAAACAACATATACAGTATATAGTTGCTCATGACTGAAATTGGTCTGGGTAAGAACAGTGCTGCTCTTTAATTAAAGTGCTTCTGCTGCAAATGCCAAATATAACAGAAATTAGCATCTTTATTGTATATTATAATCTTTCATAATTATATGAAACATGCCTTATACAGAGTTAAGGTAAGGTTAGTAGCTCTTTTTTTGGCGTAAATTTTTAGATTTAATGTTTTTTATAGGATGAATAGTTTTTGAGTAATCGGGGAAAACCTGGTTTTTGGACGCCATTTTCCAACTTGGCGGCCGCAGCACAAGTTTTTTTCGAGGACTTTTAGTATGTTATTCCGGAAGTAACATTAAATATACGTGCCAAGTTTTACATTTGAGTTTTTTTTAGGTAATTTCTCAAATATGACTAGACTATAAACGCTGTGTATAAGATTTTACTTATTTATATTTATTTCATCATTTAGAATACATAATTTTAATATGTTTTTACTACAAATAAACGCACCTGTACGTATACTGTTTATGATTTACTCGTTGCATTTTCGAAGATATTCAAACTTTTTACGCGTTGCTGTACTTAAAGTTTGATGAGCTTCCTCCAAGAGAAGGAGTGCTCGCCGCAGGGGGCTGAGGACTGGTGCGCTTCCCGGTGAGCTCAGAATCGGCAGAAGACTGTGGAAACTCTTCTACTGTAGGGTTCATGCAAATCGTAGAGGTCTCTGATAAAACCGCCGTAGAGGTCTTAGATGAATCCCCCGTAGAGGTCTTAGATGAATCCCCCTCAGAGGTCTTAGATAAATCCCCGCTTGGCACTTCACACCTACCGTTGGGAAAACAAAGTTATATGTTAGATCGTACGTAAAATATCTAAAGAATAAAATGCTTTTCCCCTACAAGAGAGGGATACGGACTTGTGTAGACCCTACCTAATAATACAGAAGGTTTTATTTAAAAGTTATTCAATCCGTGCGCTAGAAGGATTTAGGGATAGAAATAATAATATAAATACTTTGATTGGCTACCACCGATTGACAGAGCACAGATTCGAAATGAAGCGAGGACTTAAATACATTAGTATTATTGTTGTATCGTACATGTAATATGTATTTAACCGTAGACGTGTGCGGATGATGACACTTAGTATGTTTAATTGATAAATAACAAATAATTATAATTTAAATCAACCCGTAAAAATCTGGAATCAAAAATCTGTATTATAGACACAAATGATTGTAGTTAGTACCACAACAAGTATATATTCACAAAACTAAATGTATACGAAACTTATTAAAACAGCTTCTTAATCCTTCACATTTTCATTTTAATATTAAGACTGTTTTGAATAAAATGTACAATTCTGAATTTTTAAATTGCTTAATAAAGTGAACCCTAGAATCCTAATTGTTTTATGGGTCAACTGAACAATAATACTTGTACCATAATGAAATGTTATGATGCATAATTATGTACAAATTAGGGGTTAAACTAGTTGAATAGTTATTTGTGCAACGACATGTAGTGAGAAAAGTGAGCAATTGACTCACTCGAGAGAAATCCTTACTCACGAGCCGTAGGCGAGTGAGGAATGGTTTCTCGAGTGAGGCAATTGTACTTTGAACTCGAGTTGCACATTATACTTTTCCTACAGTTACCATAAAACAAATAAATTGGTGAAGAAACATAACCTACTTTTACACAGAAGTGAACTTTTAATATAACATTTAATGTGAAGTGACAAATACAACAGCTGACCAGCTGATTTACAGCCAGTGCTGCCAACGTATTTCGCGCGCATACGACGTTGCCTGCATGTTACGCGCTCACTATTTCGTGCCTTCACGTTGCAAATCTGGAGTGAGACAAAGTAATTAGAGTGAGAAAATGTTAACATTGTCTCACTGATGAGCGAATTGGCCACTTTGCTTTCTCAAATCAGTGAGAGAACATGTACATTGTTAGGTAACTGTAGGAAAATACAAATTGTCCAACTTGTTTACCCATTATAGTACAACAAATAAAATAATCAATTTGTTCGTTTATTAGGTCCTGTCAACAAGTTATCTTTCCTTACCTAGTTTTAAATATAACTTAAGATTCTATTCCATTGATTGATACAAATTTCAGTTCACCAGTTTTACAAATAATATCCTTGTACTCTTTTAGATTGTGTGTGAGGTTAAAGAATAATTGTATGACGTAAGGAAATGTGTAAAGTACTAGTTAAGTGTAAGAGAGGGCCATGTGGCCCTAACTTTGTCTGATTAAATAAATCATTGTTCATTTCCTTTCATTTCATTTTAAAGTATTTTATGTTAAGACTTTTATTTCCAAATAAATTTGTTTTGGAAAACTGTTTCGCCATATTTTAGTCCATATGCTTGTACTTAGTTAGGAGGTATTTACACTTGTGACTATTGGGGTGTAAAAAGTCTAGGCGAGGAGTGTTGGACCGTCAAATTTAAACAAAAGCAAGTAATGCAGAATTCGTGTAATGCATACCTAGATTTTTTCCATTGTGAGTTCTCAACATCAGGCCCCTCGCGCTTAAATTCATTTCTATCGCGGCTTAAAGTCGCCGCTGAAGTGGAAGACAGTCGGAGCTCTAATAAGTCTTCCTTTGCAGACAGATTCTCAGCAAAGTCATCACAGTTGTTGTTTGCAAAAGCTCTCACTAATCGTCTTGCATGTAGGTCATGTACGAACGCAATACTGTTGAATTGAGTTGGTGGGTCTCGATAGAGCGTAAAGGGGGCTTCGTACACCGCACAAAATATTTTGTTGGTTGTGATTTCATATTGGTACAACGATGCTATTGAGCTTACTTTGAAGAGTTGCGGGTTTACTATCACAGCAACTGAAAAAGATATGGATATCAATATGCTAATACTAAATGAGCATTGATAATCAAATTGTAATTTATTTGATTTTTCAAATAAACACTTACATGCATTTTATAAACATTATTGTAAAATTAAAACTGAAATTACTAAAGATAAACTTTATTTATTTACCATTAATCCGTGCGTAAGATTGACTTGTTCAATATTGTACAGAATACAGAAAAAAGAGATGTATACATTTTTATTTTTATATCATAACATATTTCAGGTGTGCGTGTGCATGTAAATTCAAGAAAGATTGTGTTATTCTTCTTATTTTTTTATGTTGGAGGGATGTCAATCCGGTTAAACTAATTTGGTACATAAAATAAATAAAATATTTTTATTTATTGCAATTAATCGTACACAATATCACACATTATTTTGTAAATAAAAAACATTTATTAAATAAAAACTGTAAACAACCATACTTTGACATTTGTATCACATTATCTTCATTATTATCACTACTTTTTTGCTGCTTAGCTGCTGTCATAAATGAAAAATAATAGTGATGCACCCTGTTGGTAAACCTGGTAGCTTTTTAATGCTATTAAATATAATAGAACTAACATGTTTTGTTGAAATAGCTTGAAAAACTCTTAAATTCCTTTTAAGTATGAATACTTATAAGAATAACATGGACACATTAAACCCCCGTGGGGCGTAGCCCTGCTGGGTTTTCACAACTTTAATGTTCCTATGTGTCTCAAGACTATCAGGTACATCGCTGTAAAATGACAGCTCAATTGTCCCGTAGTTTTCACGCGATGGAACTTTACAAAAATCCATACTAATATTAGTACATTTATAACACACATACATAACCAATACATAACGTTACATTTATTATATAAGTACAATACGTGCAAGCAAAGTTTATTGTTCTAAATTTGGTCATCAAAACATCTAACAGTTAATTTGGAATACTTACATTTATCAGCATTGCATACAGTCAGAAACAACTGAAACAACAAAAAAGGTCAGAATATGCTCATACTGTAAGGTTTTCGTAAAGGTTTGTTGGTTATGTCAGCAAGCTTACAACTTACAAACCAAAATCAAATTTTAAGAGATAGCCATACTCGTTCCGATACATACAAATCAGCCATAGCAAACCTGCACACTAAGCGAATATAAAATTTGCGTAATTGGATTTGTACTAAAATATATATTAAAAAATATGAATCTCTTATTTAAATAACATTATATTTAACGAGTACTTAGGTTTGCTTATATGTAGAAGGTGAACAGTGCTTTTTTGACCATGTTTGACAATGTTAATGGTATAAGGTCAAATAAATACATTTCCCAAACTTAATCAGCAAATTATATACATATACAAGCAAACTGCAACAGTTAAGTAGTTTTTTTATTGTTTATATAACAAAATAAATAAATAAAATAAATAACCATAAATAAATAAGAAACCAATTATTTAAAATAACCGATAACCATACGATAACACTTAAATATATTAAATTATTAAGCTCTTCAAAATAGTTTAGAGGGCAGTTGGGAAATTTTTTGTTTAGAGTCACAAAAATGGGAAAACCAATTTTTACCCAATATGGTACCATAAACCCCTGATCCCAAGGTCCAATCATGTTAGTTAGCAAACTCATTAAATTTGATTCATTCGACCCAAATTTCGACGTCTTCTTGCTGTTTACAATTCGAGTTTAATGAGCTTGGGAGGCAAAAATATCAGAAGACCTGAGAGTAGAGGAGAAAAATAAAAATAATTGAGAAACGAATCAATTAGATACTTAGATAATGTAAATATGTACAAAACGACAAGTGTTACAAAGTTCAGTAAAATAATTTTACAACGATGCTTGACTGACATCACACATAATAGGAGACATAAAAATTCTGACCTTCAAATCGATATCCTTTGCAAAATTTATGAAGTCATAATTATTAGTGTACATAAAAAATTTTGAAAGTTTAAACATATCAATACATTTCTAAGATCAAGATTTTTTTACTCAAGTAAAAGTAATTTTATAATGCTAATAGATAAATTAATTATACAAAATGTTTACTTACCAGTATGAGAATTGTGCTCAAAACCGATGCAGTCATGGTTCGAAACTGCGACATGGTTGACTACGAGCACTCAAAGTTGTTTTCGCAAAAGTTAGTAGAACACTTGTGGTGTGTCTGGCGCCAATTTCACTCACTTAATTGCTTACACGTCAGATAGCAAAATTATTGGTGTTTTAATTTTTACCTATGATAGATTTATATGTGTATTTTCGTTAAAGACACCAATTAAAACCCGTAAATTACGTTAAAAAATATGGCAAAATGTGCATGCAATATGTTAATGTTATTAGTATAAGGTTCAAGCCAGTGGTGTCATTTGTATATGTTTATTATCCATACCATTTGTGTTCTAATATACGTAATTGACAATTACAATAATCATATCAGCTGTTTTCTTATGTATTGCATTCAACAGCTCGCCTTGTGCCTTTTAGTGAAGTCATTTTAAATAAAAATGTTTCCATTACCTAAAAAACTCTTATAAGTGTAAAACTTGGTAAGTATATTGAATTTTACTTCCAGAATAACATACCAAAAGTCCTCGAAAGAAAACTTGTGCTATGGCCGCCATCTTGTAAAATGGCGTACAAAAACCAGTTTTCCCCCGATCACTCAAAAACTATTCATCCTATAAATGAAAATTAAACTTAAAGAATGTTTGCCAAAAAAAGAGCTACAACTTTTGTATTAACAATATTTCGATATAATTCACCGTTAGCCATAAAATGCAATATTAAGAAAATGAATAAGAAAATTCGTAAAAAAACATCAATTGCGATTTAAAAAAGTTTTTAATAAACTATTAAAAAAATGATTAACATTAACATCCCTTTTACTTTCCATTTATATTTTCTGTGACATTTTAAATGGTATACTGCTGATGCTTTCGTTGATAGACTACCGGTACCATAATAATACCAAACTGAGTTAATTATAGTACACGGATGGGATTTGGTATGTAGCCTATGTTTTATTTACCTACTGGAATGACATAAAAAACCCTTACAAAAACACCTATACATTGACAATAATCTTAGTAAATGGATATTGAAATTTACTAGAGGATTAAGACATTAAATGTGGGAGTTTTTTTTTAAGAATGACGGGATTTCAAACGGTCGTTGCTCGGGGACTATTCAAGATAAATTAAATAATTTAAACTTCAAATTGAAGGAAAAAGAATAAAGTTTCTTTCTCATTATTTGATACAATTCGGAATGATTTAGTAAAATTCAGATTTTCTTCAATCTTATATGAGCGTAAAACTGGCAAAGTCTGCACGCTAGGCGATCGGCGGGTTTATCTGATGTCTTAACTCAATATTTTTCGGCACAGCGACTTTATCTTTTATAAATAAAATCATCAAGTGACCAATTTAGGTTTTTTCAACTGAAGACGTCGTTGGGCAATCCTTTTTTTGGTCTTCTGATGCAGAATTGTCGGATTTCTTCGAGTATGTCATTGCTTGTTTTTAGCCGGCCAGGTGAATGTCTTTTCAATACACTTCGGTGACACGAAACTCACCCGCTTCAAGTTTCTTTATCATCTTTAAGTTGATTTAAATTTAGTTTAATTTAGCAATAAATCAAAACTATGCGAACCTCAGATTGCAATCTGTGTCTTCTGTTGTGCCATAAACCGTCGTACTGGTGACTGGCATCAAATGTATGAGTCACAATAGCGACCTACCACCGGGCACCTGTTTTGCGCATGCCAAGGCTAAAGTTTTCTCCCTTGCTACAATGGAATTAAAACTAAGCTATTTAAGCTTCAATTTGACGTATAAAACGTTTAGTTACCTTCAATAGTACTCAAACAATTATCATTTAAAATCCTGGCATTCTTTTAAAAACACCCATTTAAAAACCATTTATATCAATGGAAATAGGTTAATATTGTATGTAGTAGGCCTAAAAAACAAACTCCTTAAATACAATTAATCATTTTTTAATTCAAACAATTATCATTGTATCCTGTTACATAATTGCACCAACCTTATTTATCGTCAGACTGAAGTTCTACCGCTTGTCAAGAGTTTCCACGTTAATTATTATGCTGGTTTATTATGGTAGTCTAGCAACGAAGTTTTAAATTTCACAGAAAATAACAATTGAAAGTAGAGGTTATGTTACTGGTATGAAAATGTTCAGAACATTCTAAATAAAAATGAAATAGTAAAGTTTTTAAATTAAAACAATTAAATAATGTTTTTCATAATTTATATAAAATTTGTTTAAGGCAAATGTTTTTTTACTAATTTTCTAATTTATTTTTTAAGTATTGCATTTTATGGCTAACGGTTAATTATATCGAAATATTGTTAAAACAAAAGTTGTAGCTCTTTCTTTGGCGAACATTTTTTATACTCAATGTTTTTTAAAAGGACGAATAGTCTTGAGTAAACGGGGAAAACTGGTTTTTTACGTCATTTTCCAAGATGGCGGCCGTAGCACAAGTTTTGTTTTCGAGGACTTTTAGTATGTTCTTCCGAAAGTAAAATGCAATATACGTACCAAGTTTTACACTTATAAGAGTTTTTTTTAGGTAATTTCTCAAATATGACTAGACTATTTTTGTGTCAAATACTGATTTCGTAAGGATTGCATTGAAACCTTGAGATCCCGTGTGGTGGATTCCGAGGATAATTCGCAAACGACATAGATGTTGGCACTGATAGATATAGTCTTTATCACCATGAATGATTTTAAAATGATTGCCAGGTGAAGTTTGCGTATGACGAAATGAGGTAGTAGACGTATAAGAGCTTCGCTCTCTTCACTCGCTCCGCTCATTTAATGAATAAGATTTCAACACATTGACTTGACTCTAATCCTTGCCCAGTATACTTCTACCAAGTAGTAAGCGAATTAAAAATATATTACAATTGAAACAAAAAAATTTCATTGAATATGTGGACATAATAGGCATGGCCTGTTTACAGTTATGAGACTTAACTATCTTTTTAAGAAATATTTTGATGTAAACTATACGATAAACAAATGTGAATAAACTATGGCATTAATAGGACATTAAACTAATCGCAAACAACGGAATAAACGGAAAAAGAAAAATATGTTTACAACCTGGACACTTGACAGAATCATTAATTCCTCCAAAGAACACAATTTGTTGTAGAACTACAAGTTGATGGATTGTCCTTCGTATCTGTAGATGTCATGTGGCGTGTCTTGGACTTTTAGAGAAAAGATGGATGGAAAATTTGTCACTTTCAACATTTATTTATCGTAACTATTTTATAAGAAATTACGGTTTAAAGGCTCTATTTATTGACGCAATAGGCAAAAAGTGCTTATATTTCACTACTTATAACCAATTATACTAATTACTTTTTACTAAAAAAAAACCTTTGTCATTCTATCTAACATTTTAAGAGATAGTCAGCTTCATATACAGAAAAATCGGTGACAGATTTACTGTATCTGGAAGTAAACAAGTCTTAGCTTCCATGTTAATTCTAAAATGTAAAAATACTTTTCAGAAGTTAGTAGACAATTTGTAAAACAACGTGATAAGAATGGTAACAATAAACAACATAAGGTAAATTTCCTTACCCACGGAATATACAAGATATTTGTCTACACATGTGGAAATGCCACAGAAAGTGCTATATAATTTACATTATGTTTGACAAGATTTTTGTGAAAACTCACTTGGGGTAACAGAATAGTCAACTTGTTAGTGAACTTTCTTCCTGAGAACGCCAAACAAAATCATCAATTTTCAAGTTTCAGTGGTGTTTGCTTACATATGTTTGCATTTACTTTAGGACGAGAAACCTACTTTCTATAACTTTTTATCAATCTGTAAAATTAAATTGATTTCATATTCAATTCAGCTTATCAAAAGAATTTTAATTAACATTTGTGTATAAAATGTTCAAAAACTTTAGTGGTAACAAGATCGAGATGGACTTTACAAACAATCTGAGGCTTGAAACAACCTAAAGCCTGGTTTAATCAAACTTCTAAGCTATGAAAGCACTTTGGTACTCGCCTCAATCTCTGGAGTTAGCTTTCTACAAAATACTTTCTAATCCTTTACAGTAAATCAACTTTAGACTTCACACCTTTATATACAGTAGTTTGAAAAAATTAAAAATAATTTGACTGTTTATAAGTAAAAGGATGTTTTAATAGCTATTTACCTTACAAGTGTAGTATGAGCGTTTTTACATCACGCAGGTGAATGTTGTGCAACGAGCGGAAGCGAGTTGCATAATTTACCGAAGTGATGTAAACACGCTCTTGCGTAACGTGTGACGTACAAGATTTTACCTGACCCGACAATATACAGGAGGTTACGAACAACATTTTTTGTTATCCACCACACTCATCTTCTAACAGTAACGTTCATTTACAAACAAAAGCTAGGTAGTCGGGTAAATATAGGATATGACCTTAAACAAATTGCAAGAAAACGTTTTATGGTTTTATTTTGTAGAGTTGGGTTTGCAGAATGACATACTAAAAGTTGCCAAAAATCGGTGCACGAGAAAACCACTAAAAACACAATTTAAAATGGCGGCTTTTTTCAACATTGGACAAATTAAAAAAACATATTTCACATGTATTTGTTATGCACATTTTTCGAGATATTGACTTGGGACCACCGCCTGTATTTATTGAGTGGTTAGTACTTCATTTTGATAGGGAACATGTTTTTGGCCGCCATCTTGGATCCGCCATATTGGACATAGATAATTTTTTTTCAATGTAATGATAGTGTTGTGACACATCATTACCAACTACATTTTTACACTGATTTCAATGCCGAAATCCGTTTTTAAATATCTTTATTCATTTAGAAGATATATACAAAAGAAAACTCTGCACCATACATTTCTTATGGACGTTTCGTAGTTTGATATTTTTTTTTAATTATTTTTCTTATATCTCCAGTTCTTATTAACGCTTGTAGTTCGTTCTAGGCTTAAAATATTCAGTAATGTAAGGGCTTTCATTTGAGCTCTTGATAATTAAAATCAGACGAGTTAAAGACCTGCTACGAACCTCAGAACAATATTAAATTTAACTTTTTAGAAATATATTTTTATTAAAAGATTTATAACTCGGGTTGTTAATACGTCACCGAG